GAATGCTTCAACAACGTTTAGATGAGCATGAGCAATAACAAAGGATGTTTGAGTTAGAGTCACAAGCGAAAGCTATGCAAGAATTTTTTTTAGGCAATCACCTTCGTTGACTCCTCAAACTCGAGAACGTGTGCAGGACTAGGTAATTATTTTTTGTAAAATCTCTTATATACTTTTATGATTGACTACTTGCACTAAAAAAATATGATTTTTACTTAATAAGATAATATTTGCTTAATTGATATTTCTTAATTATGTGATTTTTTTAAAATTTTCAGGCTATTCATGCAAGATTAAGAGGGAGTTGCTCGAGTCTTCTTTTGATGATAATTAAAGATGAAAGAATGTGTCTTCCCCAAACTTTTATTTTAATTTGTTTTAGATAGTTTCATGTATTTTTTTGGAACAATTAGGATATTATCTCTTGTTATTAGTATTGAATATTTGAGGATGGTGGAATTTTATTTATTGATGTTATTAATGAATGAAATTTTTATTTTCCCTCTTATGTATTATTGGGTATTTTTAATATATTTTTGTTGTGAATCTTAGTGTCAGGTTGAGAATAATATGATAGTTGCCTATGAATGAGAAAATTATTATTAATGTATATTAGAAATTTGTAGTCTGTAATGATGGTTTTATAAACCGTATTTGGTTCATCAACGAAGGGAAAGCACCGTCGTTGATGGGTTATTAATTAACCATTATGAGGACTTTTACGACGGTATCCAACCGTCATTAATTAGTCTTCAACGATGGGAAAATATTCCCGTAACTAATGGTAACGACGGGAAAATATCCCGTCACTGATGGTAACGACGGGAAAATATCCCCGTCATTGATGGTAACGACGGTGATAATTACCGTCGTAAATATTAATGACGGTAATATGTTCCGTCGTTATAGACTCTATAACGACGGGTAGTATATCCCTTCGTGACCCTTTAGCGAAGAGGGCTTCAACGACGGGTGACGAAGGGATTTCCCCCCGTCGTTAGCATACAATAACGAAGGTTTTCAACTCTTTAACGAAGGGAAATCCCTTCATTAAAGATGTAATTTCTTGTAGTGCCTTCATATCCACACAACTGGCCACCGACCCATGTAAAGTAGAGACAAAACGCCTGCTCCATGGGTCGGATTGGATTACCAATGTGGCTCCCACAAATCCTCTACAAGTAGCAGTGATTTTCACTGTACTAAGGTATACCTGATAAAATCTTAAACTATTTTCTACATTTTTTCGTATTTGTTTTATCTATTACTAACTATAGCGTCGGAGGACACACTGAAGGGAAACGTCTTATGGGCCTTTAACTCTGTTACTCGTGCAGCGATTTGTTTTCCCCAGTTTACCAGCCATTAGAGAAGATTAAGAGACCTAAACTCCTTTAAATATCCTCCCGCTTTTTCTGACATAAACACAATGCACTCTAACAACTTGTTTCTTTTCTCTAGAGAGATGATATAACATGATGGATAAGAAAAGCTTCTGAATTCTTTGCTTGGGAAACAAACCCAATTTCCTAAGCTTTTGGAAATTGTGACAAAAACAATAATGCTTGCATTTGATTGATCCTTTCCCTTTCTCAAAAGAACAATATGTTCAATGGAAACCTCATGTCGATGTTAGGTTTCGTTTTGATTTTATTTTTCTTTTCCTTTGTTAAAGCACTCCAATTTGTTCATCATATTTATTTGATCCATATGAAAACTATTAGAATATGAAATTATACTCAATCCTTGTCATAAATTCGTAGTTTGATGCAGCGACAGAGACTTGAAGACTTCAGATTTTTGCTATAGTGATGAGGACTGTAAGAAAAACATCACGAGAAAAGACAATAAAAACATAATTTTCGATTCTTTTCTCAAGTTTTGTAAAAGTATTGTTATTCTTCTCAAGTTTTGTTGTGAAGTATTGTTATTCTATGCTCCTATCCATTAACTTGCAGGCTGCAAGCTGTTCCCTTCCCCTGCAGTCGACCGTCCAACTTGGTCCCTCTCTGTCTCTAATCAATTCTCTATCAAATCTCTTTACTCTATGCTGGCAGATGGCTGTCTGCGTTTCCAATTCAATTCTTCTATCTGGAACAACCTGCTGCCCAACAAAGTCCAAATTTTCTTCTGGCTCTTGAGCCTTCATAGACTGAAGACGAAGGATAGATTAGCTATCCAAGGATGGCTTACAGACTCCTCATGCCCTTTCTGCAATGATGATGAATCCCATGACCATTTATTCCTGCAGTGCTCTCATGCTAATCAAATATGGACTCCTGTTCTCTCCAAGATCGGTATTGGCTCCCTCCTTACCAACATCAATGTTCGTTGGAAAATTTGTACTAAGAAGAAATGAAGGAAAATTGATTTATATTTCTTTAATCTCAGTTACAATTGGATTTTCTGATTACAAAAAAGAGGAGAATGAATTTGAATCCTCCCCTTTGTTTAATACTGGGTTCTTCACGGTGGCGATGGAGTGCCTCCCTCGAATGCTCGCGTCGAGTTTGCTCTCCGTTGACGATCCGAACGTCTTGTTTCACTGGAACGTGGTCTTCTCCTCACGATTTGACGCTGTGGAGAACTTGCGTGGCAAGTTTGAAACTCTTGATGAGTTGATAACTCTGAACGAGTTTGAAACTCTATGAAAGAGTTGATTTAACCGAAATCAGTTTGTCAGCCAAGGACGAGCTCCTCGTTGCTGAAGTTGAAGATGACCTCCGTTGGAGAATGATGCCGATCCCTTCAGGCCCTTTCTGCTCCAGGAAATCCCCCCTTTGCTGCCAAGTCCCAAATCCAAAAAGCCAACCCCAACTCAATTGAGTTTCCAACTATTTATAGGGGATTTAGGGGTGTAACCGCCCTCTTAAATCTCTCCTTAATGAGGGTTTAATAGGGTGTAACTACCCCCCATAAATCTCTCCATAATAGGGTAGTGATCCCCTCAAATCGTGGGGAGAAAACAGTTCTGGAACTGTTCAAATCGTGCTTGAACGAGTCAAACGCTGAAAACAGCGTTCTGGGCCCGAACTCTGCGTTTTAGACCTGAAACGCAGAGTTGGGCATGTTTTAGGCTGAAAACGCACAGGTCGCGCTACGCAGAGATGAACTCTGCGTTTTGGACCTGGGACGCAGAGTTAGGTTCTGCATGAACTGTGCGTTTTTGGACCTGGGATGCAGAGTTTGGCTCCACATGAACTGTGCGTTTTTGGACCTAGGACGCAAAGTTGGGCTCCGCATGAACTGTGTGTTTTTGGACCTGGGACGAAGAGTTGGGCTCCGCATGAACTGTGCGTTTTTGGACCTGGGACGCAGAGTTGGGCTCCACATGAACTGTGCGTTTTTAGACCTGGGACGCAGAGTTGAACTCTGCGTTTTAAGTCCACAAACTCTGCGTTTTGACTCTGTAATGCAGAGGCGAGCCTTAGGCGGGCTTGGCGAGCTTCAGGCTAAGTCCAATGTTCAGACGAAGTCCAGTCTTGCAGACGGACTTCAGAACATAACTTGCTGCAAAGAACAGGTCATAACTTTCAAACCGTAAGTCGGAATTGGACGAATTATATATAAAAATCGGCTATCTCACAGGTCATAACTTTCAAACCGTAAGTCGGAATTGGACGAATTATATATAAAAATCGGCTATCTCAACGAGACAGAGCCGACCAAACCTACCCCATAGGGTTCGGTTTGCTTCGTCAGTTTTGCCAAATTCCTTACGGTTTGAGAGATATCTGCATTTTGGTTTGAAGAGACCGTCGATTTGTAGTCTCTTTTGCTAGAGCGTTGCAAAGATCGTCATCTTGTAATCTTCGTCTTGGCTCCTTAAAAATGTGAGAGTCGTCAGATTGTAACTCCCGATGTTGATTGTGAAGGCTGTTGATTAGAGCTTTCATCAGTTGTTGCGAAGGTCGTCAGATTGTAACCTTCATCGATCCACGTGAAAGTCTTCAAATTATAGTCTTCTGGAAGCCGTCAAATTGTAACTTCCATCATCGGTGTTTGATGGGAATCAGCTATCTGCAGTGATTTTTAGATAGCCTACAATCAACCAATGTGCCTTGCCATTTGTTCTGACATGTCCATCCAGCTGTTCGTCTTCTTTGGGGCATCTGCTTCTCAACTATATGCTGGGTCATTTGGAAAGCTAGGGATGATCGCATCTTCTCTAACCTGATTTACTCTCCTCAGCAAATAATCTCCAAAGCAGTTTATTTTCTTATTTTCTGGTCAGGTGCCTCCTCCTCCAAGAAGACAATCAAGCTGCAGCGGCTAATCCGCTCCTCTAGGCTGTCGGAGATTCTGTAATCAAGTGAAGAGAGTAATACGATCACCTGATCAGGGAGTTTATGTTTGCTGACTGAGATGACCTTTTGTAACAAACATTCTATCTTTCTTTTCGGTTTTCTCCATCTTTTGGTTGTTTAAGCTTTGTTTTGGTTTTATGTATATATCTTTTAGTTTTCTACCTATGATTTAGCTTTTTCTCCACCTCGGAGCTGGTGACTAAATCATCGGTAGATAACTACTTTTGTAAGACGTTCTATTCAGGTTTTAATATATTTATGATAGGACTTTCTGCCCTATTTTCCTTCAAAAAAAGTGTTGTTATTCTCCTCAAGTTTCGTTCTGAAGTGTGTAACATGCAGCCTATGCTATTAATCTCAGTATTGTTTTGATACGACAAGACCCAGGTACATAGGATCATTCCTTGAATGCAACTTTAAATCTACGTGTCCTTGTTTTGTAGATATTAATTTTTGTATTAACAAAAGACTAGAGATTAGTACTTGGGCTTTGAATCTGCCTTCCTAGCTTTGATTAGATAACAATAAATAGAAGTAAAATTAGTGATATGGTGAAATTTGTATGTTATGCTATATGTCTATAGTATTCATTCGACAGACTTCTTTAAGAATCCTGCTTGGTTTTGCATTCAGTATTCCCAGTTTTCACAATATGCTGCAAAACTAAAAATGAAGTACAAAAAGAAACCGTGATTTCAGATCCAGAAAAATGATGGACTTGCTTAACTAGGTTTCAGCCGAAACATGAAAATAAATTATGCTAGCTCTCAGCTTAATCGCAAGTAGTACTTCTTTTAACATACAAGCCAAAGGCTAGCTATTTCTTTGCATCATCAAAACATTTATTCAAATCAGAACTTATTTCAGGTAGCATGCTGCTAACCAAGAGAGACACTATCTCAAGCTTCTGAAACATGATTATTGATGAAATCAATGATGAGCTTATTCACCTCGCCTGGCGACTGTTCGTGAACAAAATGAGTACCTTCAGGCATGAATACTACCTCCAAGTTTGGTACAAAGTGTTTAATCATTCCACCCCTAATATAATCCTCCATCCCTGGAAACTTTAGACAGTAGTCCTTCTCGCCCATGATCAGCATTGCAGGGGCTTTAACTTTTGGATCCACATTATTCTTCATCTTATCAATTGACCTATTGGATTCCAACAAAACAACCTTCATTACTTCCAAAACTATCAACAATTTAAATTAAACTTCTGACAGAAGTACTTCAATTTTGCTCACCGATATGGCATCTGTAGAGGATATGTGAAACCAGATTTCTCATAGAGATCTGCATAGGCTTGGAGATCATCTTCTGTGAACCAAGAAGGCAAAGGGGTTGTTGTTTCTACAAGTTCCATGATCTCTTGTCCCTCCTCAGCAATGGGAAGTTCACTACCAGAGAAGAGAATGTAAATTTTACGGATCACCGTCTTAACATCAAAACGTCCAAAGTCGTTCTCTGCTCTTCCTGGCTCCTATAAAAGATGGAATAAAAAACGACAGAAGTTGATTGAAATAATATATAGATTCAAGTAGCTAAACATCGGGGGTTATTATTGTGTTGCTACCCTCCATCTCCATATGTAGAAGCCTTTGGGTATGAGATCCAATCCAAATCCTTGTGGAGAGAAGGGAATCCCCAAGGTCACAACACCTGAGACGCGATCAGGGTTGCTGAGTGCAAAGTCGTAGGCAGGTATGGCTCCAAAATCCTTTCCGACGATGAAAGCCTTGGGGATATGGAGGATGTCAAGGATGGCGAGGAGATCGTCAACAAGATCCTCCCACTTGTTATTTCCTTCTCCCTTGGGCTGCTCGGAAAGACCATAGCCTCGGCAATCAGGGGCAATTGCACGGTACCCTGCCTCGGCCATAGCCAACATTTGGTGCCTCCATGTGTACCATATCTCTGGAAAGCCATGAAGAAAAACTATTGTCCCCTTCCCTTCTGCATACAACATTCAAACGATTTTAAATAAGTATTGCTTTAAAAGTGATTTGCGCACCCCTAGAGGCATCCGCGTAGATCTAGGTGGTACCTAGGCCGCCTGCTTAACTCTTCAGAGCGCTTAGATAAACATTGGCTTTTTTATGTGGACTCACCATATCAAAAAATGGTTTATTACTCATTGGACTAATTACATTCAAGTACTCTATAGTATGATGTAACTACATGGGCAAACGCTAAGGTTTGAGTATCTACAAGGATAACCCTCAATTTGATCGCCAATGTGAAAGTACTAATGCAGAAATACTTTGCAAATGAAAAGACAAATATGCCCTTTCATACAAACACAATTACCCTTTTATACAACACAATTTCTCAGTGTTTGGTAGGATTTAATCCAAGCTACTTACGTGGAATGTAGAGGACCATAAAAGTTCAGTGATTGAAACAAGATGAAAGAATTATTAAGAAGGGTTATTTGCAAATATACTGCTCAAATCATGTGTACTTGCAAAAAAATACCCTGCAAATCTAAGTATCTGCAAAAATACCCCTCAAATCATCAATTTTGAAAGAAATTACACTTAGCAATTATTTTTCAATTTTATAAGTTAATTTATAACCATAATGTAAAAATTATCAACAAAATAGCCAAAATTTTAGCACCAAATTGATGATTTGTTGACTTTAGGGGTATTTTTCACAAAGTTGATGATCTGAGGGGTAATTTTGCACATACTAAGAATTGGGGTTATTTTTGCCAATACCCATGATTTAAGAGGAATGTATGCAAATAATCCTATTAAGAAACAATTCCTTCTATGAAAGGGTTTATAGAAATCAGTCCCTTAAATCTTTAGTAATTCCACATTAGTCCCTCAACCCTTTGAAATTGCTTAAGAGTTGAGGAACAAATATGGAATTACTGAAGATTTGAGGGATTAATTTCTAAAAACCCTTTCAAGGATTTGTTTCTTAATAAGGTATTTGTAAAAGTACTCCCAAATCTTAGTATTTACAAAACTAACTTCAAATCATCAACTTTGTAAAAAAATACCACTAAAATCACCCTTTTATAAAACGATTTGAAGGACTAGTATCAAAATAACCCTTTTATAAAATGATCTGAGGGACTAATGAGGAGCTTTAAAGATTTGACAGAATAATTGAAGATTTGAGGGAATAATTTCTTTAAAATAATTTGAGGGACTAATTAGGGCTAACTTACTAGATACTTAGACCCCAAGGTCACTGGTGCAATTACACCATACCACGAGATACCAGAGTGTAAAAACGGTACCTTAGGATTTCCCATATTGTGTTAGTTATGACATGTTAGTAAAAAAACAAACAGTGTTAAGAAATGTTAGATTTTGGATTGCGGTAATATAAGTTAGTAACCTCAAGGTTATTTGTTTAGATACCCAAACTTCAAGGTAATCTATGTAATTACATTATACCACAAGGTAACGGACTGTAATTAGTCCTTGCTCATTTAAGCATAACGATAGGTGAAGAGAGTAGTCAGATTAAAATGGATTAGATCAGAGTCAATCGAAATTCATCTCAGGATTATGAACCATTGAAGAAAAATCCTTGCTCCCTCAGCTCTAAAAAACACCCACTTGATGTTAGGCGCCTGCCGACGTGTTTGGGCGCTAGGCAATATCTCCTGCTCCTTGAAGTATCTAGAAGTTTCTAAAACATTTATCCATATCCCTAATAAGTTTGTATCTCTGCCACTTGACTCTTAAAAAGTTTGTATCTCTGCCACTAAACCTCCAATATGTTTGGGAAATCTAGAAAACATACAAAATGTTTGATTTTTTCACTTAGCATAATGGTTTTAAGGTTTTAAGTTCCCAAGCAGAGAACATCTCATGAATGTCATAAAAGTAGTCATTGGGGGTAAAGTAAAATAATCAAAACCATTTGACGGCTTTTTGAAATTCCCAAACTTATTGGGGTTTATCCAGAGTTTCGAACTGTTAGGAGGTAAAGTCCCAGCGACCCAAACTTATCAGATCCAAGGCGCCGGCCAGTGGACTCCGCCGCCAGCATCGCCAACCAAGACGATGCTGGAGGTTTGTCCGCTTCTCCTCTTTCAAATGCTAGTGCCTAGCTCCTTATTTCAGCTGAGATCTGCAACCTTTCCCTTATCTTTTTTTTTTTTTGTTTTCCGTTTTGTTTAAATGAGGGTTCTGTTCGGATTACAGTGGTTTAGTTTGTTTTATGATTGGATCTGTTTAGAAGTTGAAGATTGCATTTTTTGGGGGCTGAAAGTAACTTGAAAAAAGCAAAAAAATTACGAGGAATTTTAGGAAAAATGAAGCAACGTTTGTACATCAATGATCAGGATAAAGTTTGATAATTGCATGTTACAGCTAGCCTCTTTCCTTTTCATGTAGCGCAAAACGGTCCAGTTTTACAAGATTTTCATATAATTAAACTGCAATGTTGTGAAAAATGAAAGAATTTTATTGCGAGAACTTTGATTATCGAATGAAGAACTAAAGAAGGTTGATTAGATTCTTACCCTTGCCAATGTGAGCTACATGGAGGGTGAGCGCCTCTTGCATTTCGACGGAAAGATGCACCTCTATGCTCTTGCTCATAAATTTGTGCGGTTGTGGTTTGTGGAGAATATGGAGTTCTACTTCAACTTAATAAATGGGATTTGTTGCGTAAGGGGCTATCTTACAGACAAATGGGACTTGTAGCTTTCTAGCTTTGTACCTACTTGAGAAGCATCTCACCTGGAATATTGTGGCATGTTGTTTTATGCTATGTTTGGGAGTTTACTAACCAAACAGAATGAAAGGTAAACAAGGGGAAGGGAAGGACAGGGAAGAAAATTGTAATATGTTGTTTGGGAGTAGAGTAAAGTGAATGAATGTGAAATTAATATAATTTGTTTAAGAGTAATAAGGGAGGGGAGGGGAGGGGAGGGAAGGAAAGGAGATATATGTAAATTTACACAAATGACCTTATACTAATAACACATAATCTTATCAAATCTTTACACACAACTCAAATTGACAAAACACACGATTTATCTTATCAAAACATAAACAACAATTCTCCAACCAATTTTGCCACATGCAATTCTCCATAAATTGGCAACAAGTTTGTAATCGACATACAATAACCAAAAAGTGACAAGAAGTTACAATAGCCATCTAATATTCCAACTCTATCATAGCTCTTAAAACATTATGAAAATGACGACTCACACTCTCTCCAGATCATCCAAATATCTTACTAACCTCCCGAGTAGTTACGTTGTGTCCCAACATATACAAAAATTTTGCAACTTCTTCCTCAATAGTAACTCTTTGAGTTCGTTTAAGCCTGCAATCTCTCTCCAATATTCCATATAATTGATGAAAAAGCCTATATACAACCCTTTATGATAATATTTTTCGCACCATATTAGTTACTTCTCTAGGTTCTTGGGGTTCACTATTTAATCTCCTTCTATTTTCTCTTTGTTGTATGAACCAATAAGCAATCACACAAAGAACATATCCAATTGCACAATGGCATGCATGTTGAAATTTGACTCATGCTTCATCCATTATCTATGTGAGGATATGAAAATAACACAATTAGGATAGAAAATTAAAAAACGTTAATTATATACACAAACTAATGATAAATTTTGAAGCTCTTATTACTATACACAAATTAGCTTATCATGTATGTAAATTTCAATACTCTTTTATAACACATGTAGCCATTTGCTCTCTCCGGCAATGTTGCACTGAAGCCAATTGATATAGATTCAAAGTAAAATAATCGAAAACCCTAAAAAATCAAAGGCATAGAACAATTTCCATTACCAGCTACTAACCAATTAAAGCTTCACGAGTCCACCAACTGCAAGGCCGCCACTAGAAAACCCTCCAAATGAGTAGTAACTCCATCGAAAAGGCCTAATCCTAATTTACCAGAAAAAAATTACAACTTTGAATAAAAAAATCAGAAACTGAGATAAAAAATAGAGGGATGGCTGCTTACTTGAAGGAGGATGTCAGCAATAGGAATTGAGTAGAGAACTCCGACGAGGAGAAAAAGACGACGGCGCGGGGAAAGAGAGCGCGGGTGGGAGAGCGCGCGGAGAGAGGATGGCGGCTGCAGAAAATGGAAAAGAGATGGAAGAGTAGGGTTTACATCACAACCCTGGATTTATTTTGTTGATGAAGGGAAATATCGACATATCAAATTGCTGTGAATTTTCCCAGTTCCGTTCCCCTCCCTCTACCGTTCCGAAGCTCGGAGCGCGGCGGAGGGGGGGGGGGGGGGGAGGCGGCAATTTTCCCCTTATTCCTTCCTCCCTTATTCCTTTCCCCTTCCTTACCCCTCTCTACCCCCTTAAGAAAACTCCCAAACAAGGTGAAAAATAATTTTCTCTTCCCCTCCCCCTCTCTACCCTCCATCCAAACAGGGCATCAAGTTACCAAACAGAGAATATCTAATAAATCTAATACTATTATAAAAGTGTGTTGCCATGTTAAAACATTTCTTCCAAAAATACCCTCCAAAACACATACATGCATACATCTCTAGCACATCCATACATACATACATTAAGATGTATACATACTTAATATTTCATAACCTCCCTATTTATTACCATCAAATTTCATTTAACCACTCACTAATAACATTCCCCCACTAAGTCTTGACATTACACACTAATAATAAAAAAACGTTACAACTATTCCTCTTCCATAAATCACTATATAAATAAATTACTATTATAAAAGTGTGTTGGATGTTAAAATATTTCTTCCAAAAATGCCCTATATTTTATCAAAATCTGCAGCTATTTCAATCATAAACTAATTGGTTTTTCCCCCTTCCATCTTCATATATGTTTTTGCCTAAGCATGTAAATTGGTTTCCAACTCCTAGGCATGTTTGTAAATATGCTAAATTGGTTGTATAATCTGGTTGAATCTCTTAATGCATTATGGTTATTCTCGGGATAAAGAAAGCTTTGTCCATGACAATGCATTATAAGTGTAATTGCTTTCACTCTATATGTGTAAAGGGTTAATTTTCGTCCTATGGTCACTAAGGTAATACATTGATATTATTGGGTTGTAAAGGACAAATAGAAAGTTCAGGAAGATCAATTTAGAAAATGATATAGTTAGTTGGTCCTGAGGATGCTTATAGAAGGGATTACTACTACAATTTTAAGAGTATTATCAATTTTCTGCTATTAATCTACTATTTGAGTATAATAGTTAATGTATGATAATTATAATATATATTGATATCACATTAATATATAATATTTATATGAATTATTAAATATGTGCAATTATCAAATATAATATGAGTAAAAAGTTATTTATTTACCAATTCAAATAAATAAATATATAATATAACATTACAGTAATATGAAAAGTCGTCAACTTTTCATCATTCCACTGTCTTCTTAACCCTCATTCAATAAGGAACTCACTCATGAAGGGTTACCCATTTCTCCATTAACCATTTGTAAATTGCATTATTATAACAAATATGAAAAATTTAATAATTCCCTCTTCTATATCTTGAGTTGCACTAAATCCTCCTCAGTATACTAGCACTTAATACCCTTGAAATGCAATTTTAGAGATATAAATTGGGGGACTCTAAGAGCTAATAATAAACTAGAGGAGGTTTAATAATTTTTAGAAAAATAATTTCAAAATGACATCCCTCTCTCTCATGTAAATATACTTGAGCTTCTTGCTTTACAAGTACTTTATATTTTATAATAGAAACATATGTAAGCTAATTTTCTATGTAGAGAGTTATTGTTTTCGATAAAAATAACTTATTCATAACCTCCTACAAATATACTCATTTAATCTTTATGCATGAAGTCTCATTTCATTGAATAAATATTAATTCTTTATTAATTACTATAATATCTTAATAACTATTCACTTTCTAACCTAATAGAACCAAAAGAATTCCAAAAAATTGATCAACAAGTGTGCCTACGTGCAAGCACGTACACAATACTAGTATAAGGGAAAAATCTCTTTTAACCCAAAGTTTTACCTGAACTTATTTAGAAACTCACTCACTTTTCCAAACACCAATAGACTCATTGTATCTCATCCCACTTATTTAAAAACCCAACATGTATAATACACCCATTTTGGGTACTGTATTTACCTAATAAATTAAAAATTCCTAAACTACCCTTCATCCCCAAAATATAACCCATCCCCCCCTCTCTCTCTTCCGTTTCACTTTCTCAAAGAGATCGGTAGAGACTAGGGTTCCGGCGAGGAGATCTCTGGTTAAGGATCACCGATGGCGAAAGGAGTTGGGATCGACGGCAAGCGACAACGGGCAGCGGCTGCACGGATCTGAAAGCGGAGGACATTTAGGGGAATTTTGGTGGGTGTTGAAGAGGTAGAGCACATCAAATTCTTAGCAAATCAAGCGAGTAACACACGAATCTTGAGCTAGAATTTTGGAGCTCTCATAATCCCTTCCTAATTTGCTCAAAATTTTTGGTAATTTCTCGATCTCTCATTCTATTCTCCTATCTACTCATCGACATCCTGCAGTTTATTGCAGTTATTTCTGATTTATATCAGATTCACGATTAGGGTTTTGGTGATTTCGAATACGTGGGAAATGTCAATTTAGGTCTTTTGAAGGGGTTTTAGGTTCGCGATTGATCATGATGGTTTGTTATTCTTCCATTATATTCTAAGATCTCATTTTTCTTTAAGACGACGAGAAATGGGGATTTAGGGGTTTTAGGAACCTGCCGCTGGGATATTCATAATTATATTGTATTTTTTAAAATATTTGTCAATAGGTTGTCTGAGATGTCAAGCAGAAGTAAATCGAAGGGTTCTTCCCAATCGAAGACTAAGGCTACTAAGTAAGTAAATTTTAATTTATCTAAAATTATTGTTATCTCATGAATTTTAATAATTTCTTATGTTTTTACTTGTAAGTAATGAAACTGAATCTGAATATTTGGATCCATAGATACGTTTGTAAGTATAGATTGGTAAAAAGATTAGTTTCTAAACATTTATTCCCAGTAATAAATAATTGGGATGAAGAGTTAATGCTTTTGCCAAAATAGCCAGAACAAGAGTTATGTACTCAAAGTAGAGCAATATGCATTTACATTCTGAAGTCCACAATGTAATATAGATGCTATAGTTAATGCTCATTTCTAAACATTAAGATCACATCATATCACCTTGCTTTATCACTTTGCTTTACGAACTTTTAAATTTTACATTTATAAGGGTCATTCGTTTTGATTGATATATTCTTTTTGTAGGAAAAATGTTGCAGAGTTAAGATTGCCTTCAAATATTGGGGTATTTTGTGATTTGGTGAATAATCGTTCAAGACCTTTGCTAAATGATAATCATTATGAAGCCCTCCGTCAAACCCATTTTATCCACTTCATTAATCTACTTGCTATACATAATGAACAAGTTGCAATCGATTGCTTGCTTCATGCATTTAATCCAGAGCATAGCTCATTCAGGATAGGGGCAAAAAATATTGTGTTTAGTGTTCTTGATGTGCATGAAATAACTGGATTGCCGAAGACTGGAAATAGGGTTGTAATGGATGGTCGAGCGCCTAATACTATACATACAAAGCATGTGTATTAATGTAAAAAGATCCAAGCAGAGAAGGAGGAGGAGAAGAAGGCCGG